TTTCTCACCCCCAACAGAAATTGGTCCAATAAAAAATATTACCCCACCCATCTTGTCTCTCTAAGACTTACCAGAACAGATTTTCAGCTGTTGTAAACTGGCATAATTATGTCAGGGGAGCTATGTCAATTTACACCTGCTGATGATCTGGCCCATCATGTCCATTAGAAGGTAAGTGCAATTCCCTAGCATACTTATAACTTTTACCACAATGAGGTGGAACCTGAGTCCCTACTCGCTATTCCAGAAGAGAGGGGAGAAATGTTCCCCCTTGGCAGGCACTGTACATGATAGCACTGGAGAAGACCACTGCTGGGGGAAAAAACACAATTTACTTTCTTCAAATAAAGACTACAACTGTTCCCCGTGAGCTCACACTACTAAAGGACACATTTAGCATGTGGATATGTGTGTGCGTTTAATTCCTGAGAATTTTATTTCTTGTACTGAAGCCCTGTAAGGGATTCAAAAAAGTCACACTCAGCTATTTTTCCCAGCATGCATCAAGTTATAGCTTACCAGGAATGATGGGGCCACACAATTTCTAGCCTTTTTGCAAACAGTACATTTTACAGTATAAGCAGTAATGATTAACACACTAGCAACTGAGACACAGCGAAAGCAAAGTAAGTGTCATTCCACCAACTTCAGTGGAAGCTGCATCCATGGACTGAAACTGCATTTGGCTCCTGTCCAGCTTTGACTAAGGGCATGTCTACACTACCGTGCTACACAGGCGCCTCTGCACCGCTGTAGCGCATCTGTTGAAGAATGACTCCACCTCTGCGAGAAACAGAAGCTATGTCGGCGGGAAAGCGTCTCCCGCCGACCTAGCATGGTTTGGACAGCGCTTAAGTCAATGGAATTTACGTTGCTCAGGGTGGTGTCTTTTCCCACCCCCTGAGCAACGTAAATTACATCGACTTAAGAGGTCATGTAGACCAGCCCAAAGTCTACCAGGCACACAAGGAGAGGGCATTTGTCAACATCACTAACCCTCCCATGATCGGCAGTCTTTGGTCACAAGGACTGGAATAAGAAAGGATACAGGACAGGAGTGATGTTTATGTTCATTAAAAAATAGCTTAAGCCAATTCCAGCCAGACTGACATTATTTAATGCTTTACTGTTGGAAGCATTAGTTACCATTGTGCACTCCATATGAGGGCATAATAAAAAAAAAAAGAGAAGAGATAAAAACTCTAAGAGATTACTTGACACTGTCTTTTTAAAATACCCCAATGGGATGGCAAAGCAGGCTTAGACAAAGCCAACATCCTGTTTTTACACTGGACTCAGCTGCATGTGTTCAACTGTTTCATAGCAATTGTGAAAACAGGGAAAAGTAGACTGAGCCCCTAATTATGTATTTACTGCACTTTCTGTAACGGCTCAGAGGGGCCTATAACAAACTGCAGCATAAATCACACTCGTTTTCAATCACCTGTAATTAAGCACTTACTGAGCAGACTGCAACAAGCTCCTTTCAGGTGATTACGGAAATTATCACATTTATATGACAGACACCTGAAGCATCTCAGCATTAAGGGTCTGAGAGAAAACCCACTCAGAAAATTTCAGAGCTATGAAAACAACACAGGGTGGCATTTGATCCTTTAAGGCACCAAGAGCACCAGTTCAGGTTGGCATTAGTCCGCCTCTGTCCTCTTTTGGGACTGCAGTCATATTTAACTTGAAGTGTTTAATTAATAAAGACCTCTGAAGTTCTCAATGCTTTTTGTTGTAAAGAAATAAAAGTGAAATGAAAACAATCACTATTTCATTTCTCAACTTAAGATGAAAAAAATACATGTGGGGTCTGGCCTTGAGAGTTTTCCTTTCTGTTTATTCCTTCATGCAAAACCACTGACCATAACACAAGGCCTACCACATTTTCTGCAACTTGGTTCTCTCTTCTCTGCCCTTCTCCCACCTATTTAAAGCCACTTTCCTCTCTTACCACTCCCCTGTGAACCCCTGCACTGGCTTCCTGTTTCTCACCACACCAAGTTCAAACTCCTCCTCCTCTCCTTCAAAGTCCTATATAATCTCAGCCCTGCCTAAGCATCATTCATTTACTCCCAGGTTCAGCATTATGCCCCTATTCATCCCTGCGCCATTTTCTAGTTCTTGTTCTTCAAGAGTCCTCTCTATCTCTTCTTTAAAACACTCTTCTTCAGGAACCCTACCTTCCTTACTCTCCACACCAGTAACCACTCCCTCCTTTACACAAACTGCTGTCCTGGATCTGGTGTATCTTCTTAGCCTGTAACCATTTCAGGGCAGGGAATGTATGTAAAGTGCCATGTTAATTTACAGCAGGCAATATCACTAATATTATTTTACAATAGGGAATATTAAGAAACAATATCAAGTTTCTTCTACAAGGTTTTCCTCCAAGCTCTTATCTCCCACTCAAAAGTTAAACTTCCTTTGTCAGAACCTGAAGGACTCCCTGGGAAGTTAATGGAGACCAAATAAAACAGATGACTCTTCAAAATAATTGAACTGAAGAACTACACATCTCTAAAAAATACTGCAAGTGCACACAGAAACATTCCAATATTTCTTGAAATTAACTGATTCTTCAGTAAGATGCCCTCCAATGTCAGGTTCAGGATATTACAAGAAGAAAACAGTAGAGAGGGAGAGGGGAAACATTCAAAACATAGCAGGAAACAAGAGCACGGAATTTTGTAAATGAGACAGATATCTTTAGATCAAAACAAAAAATAAATCAGAGTCTCTTGCAACTCTAGAGGATATATTTGGACTGGATAAAGTTATTTACTCCCATGGAGCATGGGCTTAGCAGTCACAACTTAGACTGTGATGTAACTTTGAGTTTGTTAAATGTTCTTCTGGACTCCACAATGCCTTTGTCATGCTTCTATAGGTTCGTTCTTCATCCAGCCTCAGATGTTTCAATTATCATGACCAGTCAATGAACATAATTTAAAGTTATCTTCTCCATGAAGAAGATTGCATATGTTGTACATTAACTTTTCCTTCTAATTTTTTTAATAAGTAGTAGCATGAGTTTTAGATGGTTGCTGGTGTTTACTGGGTGTTTTAAGTTTAAATTCAATTCTTGCTGCTGCTGATGATAGAGCATAGAGCTGAGCTAGCAAGGGCAGGCCCCCTGGAAAGAAACATTTAAGAATATCCCACACATGCCATAGTTAATTTGTAAATAGAGATTGGATTATTCTGTCATATCATCTATATTGAACAGGATACAAGGGTGTGCAAGAGCAAACAGAGAACAGTGTTAAAAAAAGTGGTTAATTTCACGTGGAGAGGCAGGACGGAAAGTTACAAATAACAAAGATCATATGTTGTTTTTAATATTCCTATAGGATCAAACAGGCTGGGTGCTCAGCTGCAACTTGGAAGATGTAGCCAATTTCAATGTGGGATAGTGAATATTATAGTCCAGCGGTTCTCAGACTGTGGATTGGGACCCCAAAGTGGGTCACAACCCTGTTTTAATGGGGTCACCAGGGCTGGTTTAGACTTGCTGGGGCCAGGGACCGAGGCCAAAGCCTGAGCCCCACTGTCTGGGCTGAAGCCTAAGGGCTTCAGCCTTGGGCAGTGGGGCCCAGATTATAGGCCCCTGCCGGAGGCTGAAGCCCTTAGGCTTTGGCTCCTTCTCCCCCAGAGCAGTGGGGCTTTGGCTTTGACACCCCTGCCCCCTCCCCCCAGGGTGGCAGGGCTTGGGCAGGCTCAGGCTTCAGTTCCCCCTCCTGGGGTCATGTAACAATTTTTGTTGTCAGAAGGGGATCACGGCGCAATGACATTTGAGAACCCCTGTTCTAGTCTTACATATTATTATGTATTACTTATGTTGTTTATGTTTATATTTATTATATTATGTATATATTTACTTATGTTGCAAGACAGATAAAGATGGAGTTCCTGCTCCAAAGAGTTTACACTCTAAGTAACACTGCAATAAAACTTATTTCTATAACAAATGGCTCTAAATCTGAGACTGATAGCACAAAACACCAAAAGTGGATAGCTAGTCAAGTTTCAGAACTTCTCATTTTGCATTTTAGGCAAAATTCCCTCCACTCTTGTTTATAGGTTGTATTATTAAAAATATGTTTGCCCCTGGTCCACTTAAACAGCTTTGAAGAATTCAGCTAATCAAATTCTGGATCTGATAACTGGTCTCAATGGTACAATGAGTGTGGAAATTCTTTGGGGATCTTGGTGATAGGGAAACTGCATGGATTTACACCTTGAGTAGGTACAGAGGGGAAAGATCTCAAAGCTGTGGGCTCAGCTAAGTAGCCTGGTTAAATGCACAGTACAGAGAAAAACACATGGGGAGATGAAAGGGGATGAGCAGGAGGAGGGGAGGGGAAGGCAGGGGTTGAAACAAACTGCACACAGGGGAGGTGTCAGGGGATACTACACTTTCTGGCTTGGGAAGTGTTTGAACAATTAGAGCAGCCTAAAGAATCACCTGGCTCCACACCACTACCTCTGACCTAGATAATAAATAAGCAGGGAACTGTACTGCCAACAAAGGGGCGAGGAAGAGGAGCTGGCATAGGAGGAGCAGCAATGATCCAGGGGGAATTTTCCCACGTCAGGGGACAAGTTTAACCATCTTGCCTGGCCTGGGGACAAGGTCCGGCGCCAAGGCACAGAAGAGAGTCACCCCTTATCACATCCACACCCGCTATCGGGCGGGAGCGAGCTACAGGTCAGAGGGGAGCGACCCTCAGTCACCTCCGCTCCTCCCACGCCTGCCGCAGAGCGAGCTATTCCCCTCCCTCCGCTGAAAGTGGGGGGCAAAGAAAAGGCAGGGACGTGCCCGCAACATCCTCCCCGAGCACCGGGGGAACCTTCCCCCCCACGCCCCACACACGCTACCCAGCCCCCTAGTGCCCCCAAGGCTGCCAGGGACCCCCCATCCCCTGGGGCCCCTGCAAGCTAACGCCCCCACTGCCTCCGCGCCCCGCTGAGACCGGCCGGCCCCCGCCTACCTCCTCCTCCCCAGGGGGCAGGCAGAGGGCGAAGCGCTGAGCCCCGCTCTCCTCCGCCTGGGGCTCCGGTTGCTCGCGGAGCAGCTGCAGCATCGCGGCGGCTCCCTCCTCCCGGCCCCCGCCTGCGCTCATGGCAGCCCCGGCTCCTCCCGGCCCAGGCCCGGCGGCTGCACAGCGAGCGCCGCCCGAGCGCTTCCCCCAGCCTGGCTGCCCGGATGCGCCCGGCAGCTACAGCCGAGCTAACGGGGCAGCCTCCCGCTGCGGCCGCTCTGGCGCCCGGCAACCGAGCTCGGGACGCCACCTAGCGGGGCGAAGCGGGAACGGTGGCCGGGGCAGGAGGCCGACTGCCCTCAGGCCTGGAGCTGGGCCCCGGCGAACGCGAACGCGCCGCCCTCCCGCCTTGCCGGCCGCTGGGGGGCGCTTCCCGCCCCGCGCGGGGGCTCGGTGGGGACCCCCCGGCTGGGCCGCGGCTCTGCTCCTAGGGCAGCCCTGGCGGCAGCAGCCGCAGCCGACGCCCGCCCCTCTCCCGTGGCGGGGCAGCTCGTTCCGTGCAGCCGCGCGTGGCTGAGGGGGGCCGCCCACGCGGCAGCCTCCGGCACAGAGGGTGGTGTGGTGTTTTGCCGCCGCCCTCCTGCTGCAGCCCCGGGAGCGCTCCCCCCTCCACCCTCAGGCTGGGGGTTGGAAACCTTGGTTAATTGTTCTGGCAAAGGGGAGCTCCCCCCACCCCCCGGTGCCCAGCCCGCCCCTAGCTATCACCCAGTCCCCTGCAACAGACCCGGGGGCATCTGCCCCGCCCGTTGCTACAGCAAGAATGGGCCTTAGCCGAGCGTCTCCGAGCCCGGCTCGTTCGGAGGGAGAGCGGGGACCAGCCGCTTTCGGAGCTGGGGCTGCCCCGCTGGCAGATCTGTTGCCGTGTAAAAGCATGACGCGGCAGCGGAGGGAGGGAGGCTCTTCTCCTTGCCTGGTTACGTTAGACATTCAGCGCTTGTCCACCTGGGAGAAGGCGCTGCGGCCGCGGGCTGGAGAAGCAGTGAAATTACAACTTCAGGAAAACTGAGCTAGGGGAAGGCCCTGGGGTCAGCCCGTTTGAGTGTGGGGGAGGATTCACCCTTCTTTAACTCCAAGGCGTAGCGACCCCGCAGGAGACAGGACAGCCTTCCTAAAGATTCACTCCCAACTTTCCAGTTAAGACGACGCACACATCTGGAAAGACCAGACTCGACATACCTGATACATCTAAGGTATAGGCTGGCTGGCTTTATGTTAAAGATGATGAGAGTATGGAGAGGTATAAAATATAATGTGTTAAGGCTGTTTTAGCAACCAACCCCCCCCCCCCTCCCCAACAAGGGACATTTCATTAACATTTCTGTTGTGTAGAAAGAATAATTTTTTGTCAAAAACATTTCAATAGAAAACGTTCAGCCAGCTCTAATGGTGTTTGCCGGGGAGAAGGTGAAAATCCACTACTTCTTTGCAAGGCTATCCAACCCATGACTCATAGAACAAGACATTTAATTGGGCATCATACAGAGAACCCTTCTTCTGATAAGAGTTAAACTGCTTTCTTCAAAGTAATTTGATTCTTAAGACTAAAGAAGTTGCCACATAACTTTGTTGCAGAATTTCTTGCTCTAGTGGAATGTGGATAACTAACACAGTATTTCTCATTTCAGAATAGCAGCCCTTTTAGTCTGTATCCGTAAAAAGAAAAGGAGTACTTGTGGCACCTTAGAGACTAACAAATTTATTTGAGTGTGAGCTACAGCTCACTTATCTAGATTCATAGATACTTCATCGGATGCATCCAATGAAGCGAGCTGTAGCTCACACTCAAATACATTTGTTAGTCTCTAAGGTGCCACAAGTACTCTTCTTTTTACAGTATTTCTTGTGTTAGCACAAGGCACAAACACCATTTCCTTCCTAGTATTTTTCTTCAAAATGTAATCCTATTTTTCTAATAGTATCTCTGCTTTTTAATAGTATAATGTGGCCTGGAGTACGGAGGAGTTAAAATAGTCCACACTCTAATCCCTGCCCCACCACCATCTCTGCATGCCCTTAAGCAAGTCATTTTCAAAAGCAGCCCTTCTTTAGAGCTGCTCCTTAACCTCTGTTTCAGTTTCCTCACCTGAGAAAAGGGGATGTTGTCTACCACAGAGGAGTACTATCAGCATTCAGTTAATATTTGTAACACTTTGTGAGGTGTAATTATTAAAATGCCAACATAAGGCTATGAATTCCATGACCCCCTACAGATATACTGTCTGATCAAATTTAACATGCACACACTATAAACTGGCATAAAGCAATATAACAGGAAACTAAATTGAACACTAACACACATTTATAGTATGATCCCTTCCAGGATCTCAAAAGATTGTGCAGACAGCGTATGCAGGTGGGCTGCCTAATAAAACCCTCCAAAGTAGAGCAATATTAAGCTAAATATACAGATAGGGAAACTGAGGCACTTCATAGGTAAGTGAGTTGTCAAAGGTCACAGAAAGTCAATGATAGAACCAAACTAGAACCCATATCTCCTGAGTCTCAGACCTGTGTTTTAAGTCCCAAAGCACCCATTCTTCACTCTTACATCACAGTGAGGACCAGAATAAGAGAATTTCTTTGAAGCCTGCAGTTAACTTGCATTGTTGCGCACACACACAAAACAAGAAAAGATCCCTTTTATAAAGGCAGCAGCTCTCTGAAATGGGGAAACTATGGGCAGCAGTTACTTGTGCGTGTACTTGTCCAAGCCTGATTCTGTCAACTTTGCCTGAGATTTGGAACTGTTAAGTGAGAAGCTTTAAAAAACACCGAAGGAAATACCTTTTTTCCCCCTCTCCTGTGAATCTCACAGATTCAGTCCTTAAGTAGCTTTGTGTCATAGGAGCATATATAAGATAGGAGGAGGAAGTGTTTAGAGGGAAAATAGGAAGGAAATTAAAAGAAAAACAGTTAGGCCGAGTATAAGAAAAAGGTTATTAATAGTGACATCTATTAGATTGTGGAGTAGTCCCCCAAGGGAAATTGAAGCCTCACTGTTTGAATTATTTAAAGCCACACTGAACAAACACACTTGACAGTCAACTGTAGGAAACAGTCATGCATTGATAAGATCATCTAATCAGTTTACCTAACAGATCTTCATTTATAACTTCCAGGAACTTTACTTTTAATGAAAGAAAACAACACCTAACTGGCCTAGCTTTAAGTTCAGTTTTATGCATATAAGAAGAAATATTGACTGAGTCAGCACACTAACCAACCATTCTGGCAACCAGGGATCACCACTAATTTAGATTAGAAGCATACAATAAGTGACCATCCACATTGCTTTGTATGCTTTTACAATATTTAAAAATCCAAATGTCAAATTTAGTACCAAGGGGAGAATACCCCCACCCCCAGAATTCATCTCTGCATCGTACTTCAAGTTCACCATATGTAGGGTCCTCCTAAATTCATGGTCCATTTTGGTCAATTTCATGGTCATAGGATTTTAAAAAACAAATTTCATGATTTCAGCTATTTAAATCTGAAATGTCATGGTGTTGTAATTTTAGGGGCCCTGACCCAAAAAGGAGTTGCGGGGGGCAGTACTGCTACCCTTAGTTCTGCACTGCTGCTGGTGGGACACTGTCTTCAGAGCTGGGTGCCCCGTTAACAGCCGTTGCTATTCGGCTGTCTGGCTTTGAAGGCAGCACAGAAATAAGGGTAGCAATACCACAACCCCCTTAAAATAACCGTGTGAACCCCCTGGGAGCCAGGAGATCTGAGTTCTGTTCCCATGTACATTACTGACTGGCTTTAAGATTTTGGGCAAGTCACAACCTCCCTGTGTCTCAATTTCCCATTCTGTAAAACTGGGATATACTTCTACCATTTCTATCACGAGTAATATTTTATTAGTGTCTATAAAGCATGATCAAATCCTAGAAAGAAGAACCCTATGCAGCAGAAGTGCAGTGTCATTTTAGTTCAGTAACTGACTTAGCATAATTTTATTTTGCATATGGGACCTAAACCATCTGTTGTTTTCGATCCTACATTGGTCTCATGCAATGACTACCTGAAAAATTGTTAGTTTCTTTTGAAAAGATGGCAGAATTTAAGAATACAACTGGATGAGATTTTTCCTCCCTTACAGAATAAGTCCAAATTAGTCTTTAATAGTTTTAGCACTAGACTTTTAGAAACTAAATTATATTTAAACATGCAAAAGGTTATTTGCTTGGATCCTTTGCATTTTTACCTTACATCATGGAAGAGAAGGAAGAAATGTAGTCTAATGTCTAGAACAGGGGACTAGGAGTTAGAACTACTTGGTTCTAGTATCAACTCTCCCATGCACTCATTGTGTGACCTTGGGCAAGTCAGATCAGTCTACCTGCCTGTGCAATGGTTAGTATATAATTTGCAGAGATATAGTAAGGTTGGATAGTCAAGCGCTTTGTGATCCCCAGCTGAAGGAAAGGAAAGGATATAGGTGTGCAGGTTTTATTAGGACAGTAGGGACAGGAATGGTTTCTCAGTGTCAGCCCTAATGGGTCCATTGTGTCCCCCATTATCATCCTTTCCACTATTCTGTTTCTGTCTCACTTCTTTTACGCTTCCACATTTACCTTCTGTTCGCTTAATTTCTCTCATGCCCCCACAACTGGCCAGCCTCTCTGGAGATCTGAAAGGACACCTGCAGATTTAGCTTTGCTTGGCATTTCTGCCTGGTGGCTACACAAGATTTGCCTCCTAGGTAAAAACCTTTGATTGATATGGCCCTCTATTTTCTGTGAGGCAACATCCCTCTATTTGCTGGTACTACGGCCTTTTCTTTTCTCTCCATTTTCACCTACCATCCCCAGCTCCTTCCCACACACCCTATTCTCAAAGTGACTGGAGAGGAGAGGAATTTCAGTTGTTTGCATATGAGTCATTAGAAGTTTGTGACTATGTAAATGAAGCAAAACAAAACAGTTTTCATAGCAGCAGCTGGGTGTTCAAAAGAAAATGTCATTACACAGTGCAAGGGAAAGGACAGCAAGTGTTTTCATGTGGAAATCAAACATGGGTGCAGTGTATACATTGTGTTATATAAGCTTTGTACTTACGGTTATGTAGAACATGCTCCAGGCATTAGTCATTATCCAAGCTCCTGAAGAAATATATGCTATTTCCTTGTTCTTCAGGCATTGAGGTAACTGCATAGGATCTGGAGGTTATATGGTATAAGTAAAGTTTCTAATGTAGTATGTTATAACTATATTAGGCTAATGAGATAATACACCACTTTTCTAAATCTCAGCACTTCACATTTCCAAAACACTGTACAATCTCTGCTCAACCCCCTGCGAGACAGATTTTTATCTCCCATTTCACAAAATAAATTAGCAAAAACAACGAGGAGTCCTTGTCGCACCTTAGAGACTAACAAATTTATTGGGGCATAAGCTTTTGTGGGCTAGAAGCCACTTTATCGGATGTATGGAATGAAAATACAGGAGCAGGTATAAATACATGAAAGGTTGGGGGGTTGCTTTACCAAGTGTGAGGTCAGTCTAACGAGATAAATCAATTAACAGCAGGATACCAAGGGAAGAAAAAACTTTTGAAGTGGTAAGAGAGTGGCCCCATTACAGACAGT